GTCTCTGTTATCTACTCTCAAAATAATATTTTACGTTAAGCAAAATTAAGCTAAACGTTTATGCATTATTTTGAATGTAAGCGCAATGAATTTGGAGGGATTCTAATTTGTGAACACTCATACACCTATGTTATGCCCTTAAATACTGCAACAATAAAACACTGACGAGCGAAATTTAGTGCAAACATTTCATTGAAGGAAAGTTTGTCCAACAACGAAATTTGCATAAACATTGTGCTCACAATCGTCGCCAACTGCAGCTCCAGAGTAGTCCCCACAGTCAATGGGACCAATTTGAAGCTTAACCAGTGCACATTCTACCTGAGACCAATCTTAGTGAGTGAGTCAGTTGGTTAATCAATTTTATGAGAATAATGTTTTCCTTTGTATTGCAATTATCTCAGGACATATCTTGTGAAGCCGAAAACTTGGGTTCTTTGTTCTTCATTAAGCGACTTGCTTGCCTTCACTTCTTTAAAATTCACTAAATAAATAATAACTCTACAAGTTTAGCTAGCCCTTCGCACCTTAAGAGTCACTCTTATGTAGAAAAGAACTGGAAATATTTTCAATAATACAATAATATATATTATTCCGATATCTAAAAATTCCCAATTATGAAAGTCGAAATCAACTAAAATATATATATATTTATATAGGAAAATGCCCACTCATATTAGCCGCAACTAACAGCTAACAAATTACCCCAGTAAAACTTTTAAAGCGGCTTAAACATGTCTGTGCGGAAAGAGCATATGCAGCTACTTAGAATGATGCATTGCTAACAACGGCACCAAAAAGTACACTGCGAAAAAAAACTCGAGCCCTTCCATTAAACTTTAAATATAAAAAAAAGTCACAAATTAATTAATTTTAGCGTTAATTCAAATTTCAAAGAATTAAAAGGCAAGATTTCAGCTCACATACAGTTTAGTTTGTTAGCTCAATATCTTTGAAAATCTCTCTGTATAGTGTGGCGTTGTTCAAAACTATTATAAAACAATAAAGGCTTAAGTTTTTAAAATGTCTTCGGCTTTATTTACTTCAAAGTTTTAATTTTTGCTAAACATTTGCGGTGAAGAATCTTGCTCAAAAAGTGATGATGCTAGTAGATCAAGGGGAAATAGGAATACTTCATACTACCCATCTTAATATTTGCTGGGTATAATTTTAGCACTTCTAGCTGAAATCTCCACACATCGAGCGGATGTGACATTTTTAGTTGATCGGCTTTGAACACTTCTCACTAAGAATCAAATACAAATGTAAATTTGTCATAGCGAAAATTCAGGGACTTTATGTCAGAACTCTCGCAAAACTGCCACCACTCTACTGGTCTTAAAACCATGAGAAATTTTCTTAAAGTGCATCGAACAAAGCCGAAACTGCAATTGTTGAACAGAAAGCAAATAGTTATTTACGTACATATGTGGCATGATGTGTGCGCTTATTAGCTGGTGCAGGCAGCATTTGCTACGAATGCTCAAATTGTCTATGTGTCTAAGTGCCGCTGCAAGCTGGGAGTTTCCTGCATTCGCATCGCCATACTGCAGCGAAAACTGTCGCATTCACTGCCTCTGCAGTGTGTTGGCGGCTTGTGTAATCGCTTTTAAATTAGTTAGTTACAAGTGTACACAATGCCACGCGCTACACAGTCACTCGGCGCTCCAAATGCCTCATTATTTATATATGTGCGAATATATGCAAGCGTACAATGTCGCATACTCACAAACGCTCATACAAAACTTGTAATTCTGCCATCAAGAGTAGAGGCTAGCGACGAGGACGACAGGCGGGCCGAACTGCAAACGCGCGACAGTTAAAATGCTTTTTAGCGCATTCATCACACGCACATAACATATATAAATGTGCATGTGTTGATGCCTGGGTACACTGTTACTTCTAAAACTTATGTATGTATGGGTATAATGCAGTGGGACCGTTTGTATAGATTTGCGTATGTGTTTGTGGAATTTTGCCGCATACAGCTGCAGAAGTGTGCTTTCTAAAGAGCTCCACGCCGCTGCAAGACCAAACCGTGAGGACAACAATAACCACCGCTATTAGCAGTACAAGGGCAACAACATGCATGCATATATCATTCGTCAGATACCAGTCCAAAGACAAATGTTGTGCTTGTAAATGCACAATTAACACGACGCTTTGACTCAAAGTGCATTTTAGTGCTCATTTTAGGCAACGTTACATACGAATATTTGCATCACATACGACCAGAGTGCTGCATCGCACCATTGTATACTCTTCTGAACTGGGAGTTACTGCTTTTACCACAAATTATAAGAGTTCATTTGAATGCTCATTTCTTCGAGCTTCGAATTACTTCAATCGGCCATAGCTAATCGAAGATTAATACTTAGCACACAACGAAGTATTCCTCTAAAGCGTCTTACTTCTTATACCGAAATCGATCGGCATAAAATAACATTCGAACAAATCTGATTATGTCTGCTCTACGTATGTCTGCCTGAGATTTCAATCGAGAAAAAATAGTAATTTCTGAGTAGAACACATACAGCTTCTTCGTACTTCAATCCATAAATCAAAAGCCAATGAAAATATTTGTTCAATTCCGAATAAAAAACTCTGTTGATGCGGAAATGTGCCGGATAATTTCAAAGAATTACATGCTTTATTATTTCGGTTAGGTCCGAAATACCCTTAAGTTTAATGTGATATATTTCAATACATCACTTCGGTTTATGGTGCCTCTGTATAAGCAGATGGAAAGAGACATGATTTAGATGTTGGTAAACTTCTCAATAGCAACCTTTTGGCGTGATGCATCAACTTGGTTCGGTTTTACTTGGAAGCTTTTATAATAATCAGCACATCACTGAAGTTTTTCTGCGCTCCTTTACGCTTATAACAAGCACGGAAGTAGATTTCAGAGTGATTTACCCATCACTTGGCGTGCAGACAGGCAGGCAATCAAGGGAAGGTGAATGCCTGCAGACGAAACAAAAGCACGCCACACAACGGGCAAACCTTAGCATACGCCAACTATTCGCATATCATCTTGGTGTCTTCAGATCGGATTGGTGGGTGTGCACAGATCGGACTGAAATAGGAAGAGAAGTAAGCATTCTGAGGAAAGGAAGATGTTTTGAATAAACGCACGAACACTTCCGCCTGATTAGCTGATTGACAACATATTTTACGCTTCGATGTCGCGCTTACTCATGTCCACAATCCTCACACCTTCGGCATTTTTTCGTGTGGATTGTAATCTAAATAGCCATCCAACAAAATGACACCCGCCGGACACAGCGCGCAGCTTTGCCACGCCACTCGCAGCAATGCAAAGACCTAACCTAACTTGCAAACACGTAGCCATTAGAATATTATGTAATTATATTATTAATTTACACTCACAGTTCTATGCAAATAACATTGTCTTTGATCAATCTCATTTGAATAGCGCCTGTATGTATCTCTCCAATATATAAATATCGTGGTTTCATTACAATAACTTGCTAAAATAAGTGAATTTCTAAGTAAGCTGATGCCTAACTTATAAACGTAATAGTAAGTAGTATGAGTAATTTATTTGATATATCTTGAAATGAAGGTAAAAATAAAAATTTTAAAGTGTTAAGCTCTCTGTTTTTCTAGACAATCTTTTTTGGCAACGCGAACCCTGCTGCCGACCTAAGCTTGCAATTGAAATCTGGTAAATCAGGAATTCTTACTAAGGCTGGCTGTTTCGTCTTGCCAATAAATATAGCCAAAATTAGGAGCAACAACACTAACTTTTATACACATACTACACACAACCATAACAATATTCCCCATCACTTGGCCAATTGACCCAAAGAGGAAGTACTTATAGCACGGACCAAAGTTTCAACATCCACTGGATCGACAATCGGCATAACGGCATGTTATAAATATACCATCACAAATTATAGCTGCCAAATAAGCCCAAGAGAGCAAATATTGAATTAGCACATTATCAGATCAGACACAGTATGTTTGTATGCTTATATATATATGTGCTGGATCTTGAACAAATAATCGGAGAATGTACCCTTTATTAAAAGTTCAAAAGTAGAGCGCGCAAGTAAGGAGACGCTCAGTGCACGAAGCCCTCCTTGAATCTGTCCAAGTTAAAAAATTAAATAATACGAAATAACAACTTTCTCACCAAAATGGTAATTTTTATAGTTCTTTCAAACCATCAAATATTATATGTTACAACGGAGTGCGACGATAGCGTGAAAAATAAGGCCTGCTGGAAAATTGAGTAAAAGTGAGTTGATTACATTTACGACAACTTTGAAATCGTACGCTTGATGACGAAGTTGGTTCAAAGTGGTTGGTTGAAACAGCTTAAAATATTAATCACATAAAGCTATAAACTTATTAATGTTATGAAGAAGTTTTGAGTTTATTATTATTTTTTTTTATTAATATGAATAAAAAATTATTCCTAATAGCTCTCGTAACCATTTCAGTTGCGTATTTGACTAAACTAAACTAAATGTTATTTGGTCTTCCTTGTTTTAGAATGTTTCACTTTGGACTCTTGCATTTTTTTTAACATAGAAAAATTATAAACTATAACTAAACTTATAAAGAAATGCAAGTCCAACATAGATTTTTGTATATTCATGTATTTTGAATAGTTGTATTTCAAATTCGTGCCACTGTAAGTATGATGCAATGTAAAGGGTCAATCCAGCAGTGTATTTAATTCAAAGATTGATCTTGTACCAGGGAGTAAAAGCTATATGAAAATACCCTGACCATAGTCTCAAACCATTGTACATAACTCCTTCTTTATGGTATGAAGTTTCATTGCGAAAAAGAGTTCTGGTCCTAAAGGCCCTGCGAACTAGAATCTCATCACAAAGTTACGAAAATGTCGGTACAGTCGTTCTCGACACACAAAACTCATACGCAGATAAGATATCGTAGACGAAAATGAACTATAGAAATATTATATAATATTACAATGGTAATGAGAAATTTCTTATAAATCTATTTCTGTCTCATTTATTAAATATTTTTATTTAAGACAATTACAAAAATTTCAATAAAATTAATCCTTATTGCATGCGATCTTTTTTAAACGTAGTCCAAGTACTGATCCAAAAAATTCGAGGGCACTCGGCATTCGGAGTATAAACGCATGCAGTCGGCGTCCGCTTTCCCAGCCACAAAGGCATCCGTATAAGCAACAGCGATGCTTTCCTTTCCAGGGCTTCAATATTCAAATATTAAAAATGTGAAATGTGAAATGGAGCTCTTATTTTTAAAAATCTTACCTTAAAACCACATCCATTATCTCCGAAAACATTCCAACATGTTCGTCTACTTGTGCATTTTGGCAAATGGAACGCAGCAAGCATCGATGTCCATTACCATGCTGTCGCTCCATCAAGACTTCCAATAAAGTGTAGATAAATAATCGAGAATCATCTGTCTCTAACTCAATCTGTTCTTGTAAGTGTTTCATGGAACGTGCAAAAGTTTCCTCCCACTTATCCCATGGATAGGTGGGCGCCGTTGGTAAAGGGTAGTGGCCTCCTTGAATATTATTTATAGAGACTATCGAACGCCAATCGATAGGGTCATCCAAGTTTATAGAAGCTATTGCTCCAGCGTCTATCTGAAATGAGTTGTGAGTTAAAAATGTGTTTTAGTTTATTTGAATTTAGATGAGCTCTCATGAATTCCTATTAGGTTAAAAGAGAAACCATTTCACTCGCAGTTATTTCACCAATGGTATTTCCTCATCAGAGATCCGAAATTTTCAAATAATTGTGGAAATCTAAATCGTAATATGCTTTTTGGACTCGGAATCCATAAGTAAAGATGCAGACTTGGAACAATTTAACTGGATTTCGCAATTCTTGAGGTACTGGCTCAGTTATAGATTACGGTAAATTGTGTGAAGTAAAGTTGAGTTCTTAACTACATTTTGATTTACATTTGCATTGCAGTACCTTGACTAACCCGCTTCCTTCGAAAATTAAGGTGCGCTTTTGACGACGCAAGTTCATAAACTCGGTCAGATTTGCGCCGCTCTGTATTGGACTCAATTTGGCGGAGAACAATTCAGCATTCAACAATGTAATTCCAATGAAATAAATAACAAAATGCATATTAATTGTAGTAAATTTTGAATGAACTAACTTTTTCTCCGTTAAGACTCGTAGTGATAACCTCACTTGGAACCAACCAGCAGCAAATTGAGATGTCAAGCCACCGAACGCCGACCTGCGAACAACGATGTATGCGTTAGCAATTATGATCGAGCGAATAAACCAACACAAGTGAGCGGAATATCGGCTTACCAATATACAAGTACATGTGAGAGAAATTGGGGCGTCGAAGATAAACATGGCCAAATAAATATTTTGTTAAAATATTAGTCTGGTTATTAATCGACACACAGTTATAAAAAGGTACAAAAGAGAAAATCTCTTCTTGCTAGCTTTGCTTTACTTTTTAGCACTACTGGTGACGTTGCCATACTGATGTAGTAGTTTTGCTGGTGTTTACGATGAATCAGAGCAACTGTTAATTCAGTTAATTTTCGAAACAAACAAAAACAACAGCAAATGCAGAAAAATTCTTACAGAGGAGAGAAGCAGCAAGCGGAGCTAACAGCAAAACTTCTAGCCGTTAACTGTCATGACCTTAGACATGTCAACTGCACAAACACATATATATATAGCGCATATACTGGTGTGTGCAATCAAAGCATTAGAAGATTCACAATCGACTAAGTAAGAAACAAAGGTGAAAACACTCCCTCCCATAACCACCATATTTTCATGCACAACTGTTTTTTTGTAATTTAAATGAACGAAGACTAACAAACTAGTAATATAAACTAAAAGTATGACTAAAGGTGTAAAAATCGAAAGAGAACAGACGGAGAAACAAGCCAAAGTGAAAAATCCAGTCGCTCGCTTCAAGAAACCAGCCCTGTTAGGTATAGAAATAAGGGCAGATTTTTTTAAGTTATCCAAAATTTAAGTTCTATGTTCGCACACAGTCGTCAATGTTGGTTCTGAAAAGCAATGCCGACGAATTAGCAGTATTATGGCGTAATTGCAACAACGAAATGAGTACATAAAATGCATTAACTGTGCTAAGTAAAAACTCGATGTCCTTGCTTACACAATCGTTCGTAAATGCATTTGAATAGAGAAAATATGGCCTTTCCACCAACAAAGCCTTTCAAGCAAATACTTCAACTAAAGGTAATCTAATATCTCGTGTTAAACCTGCATAACTGACATGCGTCCCACTTCTTCATACATCCACTCTCTCTTATTTTTTATCATTCGGATCTCCGATTAAGGGACTTCTCAGTGTAGAATTTATGTATGTATGTACGTGTTTGTAGTTCGCCAACAAACGTTACCTTCCGTTCGATTCGTTGACAAAAATACCGTACAAGTATGACTTACGTGGCAAATCACCATGTTCATATAAAGACGAGAACATGTGTATTTACATAAGTCACCATCACTTAGTAAGGTTTCTTCACTGTTTCTGCTCCATTCTAGGTTTGCTATCTCTCATTATGTGTTTGTTTTGGCTATTTTACTTAGCTGCTGTATGAACAAAAGTATGTGCTGTAACTTTAGCAAATGCGTAAATGTTAAATGGGTAATATCTGCACTTAACTCTTTTACTACTTTCACCTGCAAAGTTGTAAGACTTAAATTGTTTAAAGCTTTGGGTTAAGTGTGTTCTGGGCTTCACCTGAACAAATACATACGTTGACGTTGAATAATTGTTGAACGAAAAATATGTGTATGATATATGTGATTAGGTCTAATAGTTGAATAAGCCTCTTCTTTTGCACAGTAATTGTAATACTGCGTTGACAGCCCTCCTGAAGCTCCATGTGCAAGAGCGCTCTGCGAGTATATAAGCTTCGTTTGTGACCTTTAATGTGTAATATTACAATACAACATCGAGTAATATAATTTTATTGTTATGTTATACCTTTTTTATGTCCTAACGGTTTTACTGCATGTGTGTATTTTAGGGCTCTGTTACCAAGCAACTAAAAACTTGGAGCCACCTTCTGTTCCAAAGGCCCTCTCTTTTCAGTTCTTACATCTGATTTAAAGCGCATCGACTTCCAAGCGATGTCAACCTTATTTTGGCTCCTACCGTGATGTATTTGTCACATTTTTCATTTCCGGAGAGACAGCCTCTTTTGTTTGACTATTTAATAGCAATGAGTATTATTACAGATTGCTTATAATAAGAGGAAATATATTAACTTCTGTTTTCATATTACTTACATATTTTCTGTCTATCTATAAGTCGGGCTCAAACAAGAAATTTCGGTTGCACATAAACTTTTCTTTCAAAGAGGTATGTACTACGTCGTACACAAAAATGTTTTTCAATAGCTAATTATTATACTTATTCGATATTTTCTAAAATATGTTTATTATTTACCACATACTTGTACACCAAATGCCGAATTACGTAGCATCGAACTATTACGAACCTATATACAAAGCGTGTTACCCTAGCCTAGTTCCGTTTCCCGCGACAGTCGGGTCTAAGTAATAGGAACGGACCTGGATTTTTATCCGGCCAAGGACTGTCAACTCGGCACCATTTCTCGAAATTGCTTCAGAAATGTTTTCTGTCGCTACTACAACACCAGCCTCGTCCCTCCCTTTCATACAATCTACCGATTGACGCAACAAAAGTTTCCTCTTAAGAACAGGCTCTAACTGGGAAGGTTCGCAATGGTTGCCAATTAACATATAAGTCATCTATATAACGGTTGAGAACAAATTTATTTTCGTATATTCTTATTATCCGTTACACCAATTATTTATGTTATTTACAAAATTAGTCGAAGAATAACTTCTCTTTGCCTTTCTATTTAACATTAATTCGTACTTAATATAAACAATACTTCCAGTAACGATACTAATAATTTAATTGACATTTTCTTTTTAAATAATTATATCTCTGTACTTGCATACTCATTACATAGGTGGCGCATGAAAATGGCACTACTTTAGGGTTTGTTATTATGGGCATTTACTTATCGATAAATTTAGTCACGAAGTTGGCAGCACACCGCTGTTCTTTCTACTTCGCTAAATTTTTCTGACGCCATTGTGTGAAAAGTTTATAACTGTGAAGAAGTGAGAATAAAATAAAAATTGTGCAGCTGTTAATGAAAAATAAGTGCTGAAAATTAAAAAAAAGCAAATTAAATTTGTTCTACTAAATTGAGAAATCACAGACAGATGTAAGTACGCATTATGCAAGATCTAGTGGAAGTATTTTTTAGTACCTCGTGCCATTGATTTTTTCATTTTGCTAAGCCGGTTCATTTCGCAGCTAGAGGGGTGCACGTTATCTATGAAACTGTACCTATACATGATAGAAAATATGTATACATACATGAAATTTGCAAATAATTGAAATTTTCGAATTTAGTAATTTCAAAATGCGAGGTGGACGTGGTGGATATGGTTCCCGAGGTTCTGGCTCAAGCCGTGGCGGTAATAATTACCGTAGCAATAATTATGGGCGCATGCAAAATTCTGGCGGCAGGTCTGGAGGTCGTGATGGATATAATCACAACTACAATAGCAGTGGAAATTCTCGTTATAACAATTATAACTCTGGTGCAAGTGGAAGCGCAGGACACTACGACCGCTCAAGGGATCGCTTCAATAATAGTTCTGTTGGCGGAAGCCGTCATGAATCTGCCCATAAGAGAAATTATCGCGTAAGTAGACACTATAAAGTTAGAAATTAAAATCTGAAGCAATAATCTAAATTATCTATTATGTTGTAATGTCATATCTAATTTTAAAACTGTAATTATTGATACAGGATACATCTCGTGATCGTACTGATGACAGAAAGCGTTCCCGACAAGATGTAAGTCCAAATTTTATTTATTGTCTAGACATTTAATATATTACTTCATAAGGGAGTTCAAAATATTCCCTCGTAGCTGAGTAATCTTACCAATTAACATTGATATTTTATGTATATTTATGCACGAATAGAAATGTATTTAGAAAGGTCGAATTTTGAAAGACGTGAAAACAAAAAAGTAAGCCATTTGCAACAATTGATTGAGAAATTTATAACTTTGTCACCAAAGCAGACAGAGTATGAACAGAGAGAGACTCTGCACTTGCTGTGTGACAGAGTTGACACGTTTCGACCAAAAATACTATGGCAATGATAAGGCTCTTTTTCGCACGTAATGATTATAGAGCAACGTCGCCAATGTGATCGTCGAATAAATTTTATTGAGGCCAAGAAACACGCCATCCTCTAAAGTATGCTTATATTGAAAGTTAAATAACATTAAATGTTATGATTAAATTTAATTAGAGCTATGATCATCCAGTGAAGTAAATAAATTCCTACGATGCACCTTGCTGTTCCAATGCATCACATATTGCAAAAAATTAATAGTACAAAACATTCTGAAGGTGGTAGCAACGATTCTATAACGATAATGTGTACATTATTGTTTTGATGAGCTTTTTAGGAGATTTGCTTATGCTGCAGTGAAAACCTCCCCTTTTTACCCAATTCCTAAACAATATCAAATAAAAACTCATGTTAAAACCACACAAATCTAAAAACTAAATTGACAGAGTATAAATGCTCAAACTCGTGTATAGTTAATTCTTTAAGAATACATAAAACAAAAAACATCCTCATCATCGTCAACAGGATTATAGACGCACCTCTTCAACTGGACGTGGAAATCGAACACCACCGCCCCCTCCCCCACCAATGGTTTCGACAGCATCGACATCTAACTACCGTAATACTGGTGGAGCAAATACAACTAGCAATTCGTATCGTGGCACAAACTCACGCAACGATCGAGATGACTCCACTGCTAATACCAGCCGCCACCGGTCTCCAATGGGCATACAAAAGCGTCCCATACGCACTGGTTACGTTTCAAGAGCTCGTGGAAATATGTCCTCATATCATCGTGGTGGAATGCGCACCACTTTATTAAGGGGCGGTGTGCGCATCATTCGCAATAACCGGAATGATTCAAACGATTTGCGTATTATGCGACGAAAGCTGCTGTATGCACAACAGAAAGATCGTGCGCGTGTATTAAAGATACAGCGCCTCACAAGGTAATTAAAATACAGAAAACTGCATAAAAATTGCATTTGAGTTGACTTGAGTTAATTGTTGAGTTTTATGAAAATGTCTTGAAGCTGATTAAAAGGACTAATTATTTGTTGAACCGTCTATGGAAACATTAAAACAAACTAAGCAGAATATGTTGAGCTTAAGTGATTTGGGTTTGGTTGTAATCTCATTGTATTCAGAATTTATACTTTTCAAACAAGCATTATATAGTTTGATAAACATATCTACGTTTCCATCGCATAAATTATAAGGACCTGTAGTAAAGATGTTATTTGTTTTGAAACACTGGGGTTTAATTGTATTCCTAAGCAAAACTGACGAGTTCATTGCTCTTTGAAAATTTTTACATATTATCCAAAGATGCAATGATATGAAAGATGTGATTTAAAAGCGAAAGTCGTGTGTGTCTGATGCATTTATACGACCCATACTGTAAAATCATAGCAGCTGATTGACTTTTTCCACTCGAAGCACTTTTGAAAAATAAAAAATACATTAGCATCAGAAAGTACAAGATAATTTTGTTCATCAATTAATATACCACTTTTGCGTTTGCGCTACATAAATTAGCTCATTACGTCGTCGTAGGATAGTGCGTCGTTCGAAGAGCCCACATCGTTCCAAGAAGGGTGATTCATCAGATGACGAAGAGGATAATGATAAAGACATCGATAGCGACAAGGACGATAGCAAGAGCGACACCGAGACTAAGAAAAAGACATCGAAGCGCAGCAGCAGTAAGCGCGGCAAATCTTCAGAAAAAGGAGATGATACCGAGAAAGCAGCTGACGATGATGCTGACGAAGATGATGACGATATAGAAGGTGATGATGTCGTTAAAGAGGGATCTAAATCGGCGAAGAAAAGTAAAAAGGGTGAGGATTCATCAGCAGAAACTGATGATCATAAGGATGATGAAGATGATGATGAAGAGGAAGGAGGTGATGAAGAAGTTGAAGGTGCCACAGGTGATGCAACTACTGATCCAGATAAGAATAGTGGTGAAAAAGAGGTAAAGAAAGAAGGTAAGAAAAAAGAGAAGGAGAAGGAAGACGATGATCACAAAAATGATAAAACCAAAAAGAGTTCGTCCTCGAAGAAGGATAAAGAGAAGAGTAAGGAAAGCAAAGAGAAACGCAAGAAGGAAGATAATAGCGATGACGAATCAGAGAAGAAGGATAAGAAATCACACACATCACGTCGAGATGACTATAACAAATCACGCAACACAGGCTCGCGTGTCAATCTGACGTGCATTCACTGTCATACAGGCTGTTTCACATATCCGGTAAGTTCCAAAACAATACATAATAAAATGGATAGAATCGAAGTACAACTATTTTATACTTATATAAGGTCTAACAGCAAATCACACAAAAATCAGTTTCGTATATAATTGAATAAATTAATTTCTTTGACGTTAAGAATATGTGTGCTGATATCTTTATTTTAACTTTTGCAAGGTACTAAGACTTTGTCTGTATTTCCCAGGACTATCAGCAACACTTGTATTCTCGGGTTCACAAAAACGCAATCCGACAAATTTCACTTCGTCAAAAAGCACATTTGTTACGCCTGCGTGCTCGTCAACGTGCTGCACAACGAGAAATCGAGGAGAATTCGAAAGAAGAGTATGAATCCAAGTTTTGTCACTTGTGTCGTCTCCATTACCGCCAACCGAAGGCTAAACATCAATTGTCCGAGCACCACAAGACTATGAAAAAGTTCTTGATGCCATATTGCTCGACTTGTCATTTGGCATTTAAGAGCCCAATGCTCTACGAGACACATCGCTGCTCTTTGGAGCACCTAAAGGTTAGCCTGTTTTTAAGCTATGTCGTTAGTATGTTTCTATAATATTGTTGCTTGACTTTTATTGCAGCGCAAAGCACGAAAGCGTGATTCGGATAGTGACAACAGTGATGAGGATACCAGAGAGATCGACTTGAACAAATTTCTAACCGTAGATTCGGTGGGAGAAATTGACGAAATAGATGACATGGATGTGGATGCCTTGCTAAATGAAGGTGAAGGTGGTACAGATGGTGAAGAGAACAGCAAAGAGCGACAACCCGTTGGTGCATCTTTTATTAAGAAGGTTGATGCATACTTCTGTGAACTTTGCAACCATTATTCAGTCGCAAGTGATTCTGTAGAATCATATGCTAAAAAGCATTGTTTACTACGTTCACATCTCAAAGCATTCTTGCGTAATAAAGAAGAAGAAGAAAAGGCAGCTAAAAAGGCTAAAGCGAAGGAAGAAAAGGAGGAAAGTGAAAATGATAAAAAAGACTCCGTAAAGAAAGAAAAGGACGCTGAAGAGGGGGCGGATAAGGATGTTGCAGAAGGAAACGGTCATGGAAGTGGTGGGGAAGAGGGTGAAGAAGTTGCGGAAGATAAACTTTGGGAAGATGTCGATAAAGACTTGGGCGACTTGTTACGAGAAGTGGGTCCAGAGGATCGGGATGATGAGGAAGAAGATGAATCGGTGCTCAACATTGATATTGAGAGGTAAGAGAGATTGGAAATGCTATTTTGTACATTTACATATTGAGTAGCATAACAAACAATTATAGTGAGAAACCAAAAGCTAAAGAGCTAAACGGCAAGAAAGAGGAACCTGCTGCTGCCCCACAAAGCGTAAAGCCCGTTCCGCCTGAGGTGAAGGAAGTAAAAGATGTGAAAGCTGACACTAAGTTACAAACAACACCATCTAAACCCAAGCCGCAACGCAAAGTTTCGAGCACTAAAGCAACTGCATCCTCTGAAGCGAAGGAAAAATCGGCAACAGCAAAGTAAATTATACACCTTAATTTAACAACTTTGATTCTTAGTGGAAAATAATTGACTTAACAACTTTTGGAACTGTAAACTATCGAATAAGTTTTATGAACTTGCTAATATTAATAGAGTTCTAATATAATAGTTTTAGTCGTTACTGTTTAATGCTGACATTGTATAACCTAAGACGCATTAACTGTAATAAAATGTGCAGGAATAAATACACAAATAAATAAACAGAATGCATTTTAAATAAAATTGACTAGGGTTAAATAAGTAATCGCTAGACTTGAAAGTACTTTCGAAGCTCATGACAGGTTTCAAAATAAACTGTGCACTCACAAATGCAAATGTGGCTTATGCAAATTTACAATATTGTGGAATAATTTAAAATATATCCATAACCGTTGGACTTGTGTGTAACATAGGTGCTTAAGTGGCAGATCAATGCGCCAACAGGAGGAAGTTGCAAGCCCCTTACCAGCATATTAATCGGTAACTCAAACATTTGTAGACATAATTGCCCACAAATAAAAGCAAATATGATTAGCGAGAGACGTAACTTGCAAAAGCTTCGAAGGTAATGGTTTTACAGTTGTAGCAACTTGTTTGTTATTGCACGTTGTTTTGTTTTGCTTTAACATTTTGATTTACCGCCATATATAAACAAGGCAACAGGTGAAAAAGGGCACATCTGTCATGGTCGGGTGCTTTTGGCGACGGGCAATCGTTGGGAACTAGCGCTTTAGGTTCGAATGTGGAGATTGTTTTCTTTTTACTTCATTTTATTTTATTATCAAATCGTCACTTCACTTTCACGTGTATAGGCGCGCTGTGTACGTTGCGATTTCCTGTTGTAGTGGGTGGTAGCTGGTGTGTATGTATGACACTTTGGCATGGGAATTTACTTCGCAAATGATTACTACGCTTAGATACAAGTACATACATACATCTATCTATCAACATAATTCTTCCATCACCATTTTCGCCGCTGTTGGAGGTTAGAAACAATGGTACGTTTTCAAATTTTTTTCCGTATTTATTTTCCTATTATCATAATTGAACGTTTTATTAGCATGAAACAAATTTTCAATTCCACTTTCACTGCTGACGTGATACATCACGAAGATGGCGCCACATGCTATTGCAGCGTGAGGAGCATGCATAATGGAAATTAGAAGTGGAAAGGAAATCCGCTGCGGTTAGATTACGTAATAATGTTGCATTTTTTATTAGCGCATTCAATAGCATTCATAATTGCATATTTGTATACCACAACCGAAGTACTTATATTATATTATATACATATGTATCTTCGTATAAGGAATAGTTAGGCAAGGATATGTGTGTACCAGAGAAATGCCGGAATAAGTAAAAGAAATATGCATTCACCATTGAAGAAGTCAAATAAATAAATAAAGGCCTAATGGTGATTAAAAGAAAAAACGATCAATAAATTTAATTTCACATCACTATAGTAATTCGGGGATTTCTTTTTAGGGAAGATGTGCATGCATAATCATAATTGCATGAACAAATTGAACTTCATAATCATGAAGTGCGACCCTGTAGAGAATTAATCAGACTAGTACCGTTTAGCCACAAGTGCACCAGTTCACATTATGCTAAAAATATCTAGTATTCGTGTAATCGCATAGAAGAGTCGCAACATTTTTCGTTTATTCGGCACTGACGGTCACAACAGATAAAATGTGTTTTAGGTAACTCCCCAATAAAATTATATGCACTTAGTACAGTGCTAATTGACTACTTAAGCGAATACCCGAAACACCTATGAGATACACCCTGACTAACATATGTATGTGCGTATGTATTTCATTGCCTTATTTCAACTTTAGATTTTAGTGAATTCCAATGCTTCAACTTACAAAAGCGTGCACGCGAACCGTTGGCGGTGTCTGATCGTAACGAGTTCATTTCACTGCAGGGTCTATTTTAACATGTGCATATGTGCGCAATAAACGTATGTATGTTTGTAATTGCACATATTTTGAATAAAACGTTTAAAATTTATAGTTGCATTGTTCTACAGTTGCAATGTGGATGCTACAGTCGCGACGGTTATTTAATGTTGCCAATCCGGTTTGTTGAGCTCATCTACTTTTCTGTTGTTTTGTTTGTTTTATTTTTGTGCTTTGCTCTTTGATATTTAAAAAATCAGCGGGTGCATTGCTGCCATAATTGATGCACTTTCAAGTCAAAATCGTTTCGTTTCATTGAATTATGTACATATGTATTACAACAAAAAAAAATGGTTTGTAATTAAACTTAAATAAATTTATTAAGGAAACAAATGGAAGTATTATCGAACCACAGAGATTATTTTATTTTAGGAAAATGGAAAAACTAACTACACATACACATTGTATGGTTGTTGCAATGATTATTTGAGCCCATAAGTAATGTTCATTGATTACACCAATATTTAAATCAACTTTTTGGCAAGGTCATTAGGTTAAGATTAAGTTCTAGTTAAAGTGGTATACTCACAATGTTATTGTTCCTTAAGGGGGGATTTTTTTTGCATAAATTGTTAGTACAACTATTCAAGAATATGTTGCTTAAGTTTCAAAACGGAATTCCAATTAGTTTCGATGATATGAGCACTTAGGTAAACACCGGTCCATTAAGTGCCGAAGCGCACTTTTTTTTCAAATGCGTTTTCGAAACAACTTTTTTTCAACTTGCGGGAATACAGGCTCGAGAAGTTATTGACGACTCAATCTAAAAATTTGTGTGAATATTCTTCATTCAAGTCTGAAAAATTTGTCCCGACTTTTGGAATGATATTGTTAAGTAAAATATACTTTTTTATGTAAGAATGGTGAAAAAAATTATATAAAAACATAACATTTTGTTCAAACACCTCCAAAACATTTAATTTTCAACTCTTTTAGCCAGAGTTTTGTTCATAGTCTTAGAAAATATGTTACTAACGAAAGATAAAATAAATTAATGATTTCAGATCAAAACTGTGACCTCCAGGTGTCCAACCAGCAGTCAACTCTGATGGCGACCGTCAATGGACACCACCCTCTAACTCCACCACTTCTGGCGGAATGGCATCGAAAAATTTAAAAATGTAGTTCGAAATAGGCATAAACTACCCTGCAAGTTTAAGCGAATTCTAAGTATTCTTTCTCAGTTAAAAAAATCACAAAAAGCATTCGCATTTCGGCCTCCTAAACTGGTTTCCCCCTTGAACTACAATAGAAACAGAAGATTTTAAAAACTCCTTCATTATACAAATGCACATATACATATATACATACATTAGCTAATGTAGGCATACGACACTTTTCCAAGTAACTTATTCATTTTCAAACACAAATCGACTGTAATTGATTGTGACTAACCATATGTGGGCTTAGTGCTCACAGGCGCCATTGCAAATTTAGCATGCGATTTCTGTGAATAATACGCACACATCGGCGTAATCTTTCAACTTTGCCTAAGAATTTCGTATGGAAAATTTGGTTGATCTTGGGAAAACTCCCATATCGAAACGCATCGCATTTATTCGCAGTCCGGTGTGTGAATATGTGTGGATATGGGTATGTTTTAACAATGAGCTCTGCTACTCTCAAGGTTTTCAGCCGAGGAGAAAACTTGAGGCTCTTTTTATTTTATAATCGAGTTCTTGAGTTCTCAACACCTTCAAAGCAGTCATTGTGTTAGTTTCTACTGTAGGCCAAACCCAAAGTTTTTTTCAAATGTACAAGTATATTATGTACATAACTAATTGGCGTGTAAACACATTTTCCCTGCACACACTTGTAGTATGTACATACATATGTATGTACATATGTATGTTTAAAAAGCCAGACATAGTCAAATCTAATGTGAACATAATGAGAATCTAGATTAATGAGCACACTTAACATAACTCGCCTGAGAATAATCTAAATTTGCATTCGCTTTTATTATTTCCACCGTGTGAAAATTTATAAGCTCCGCAAAATTTTCCAAGCAAACATCAAAATTTCGAAAGCGGTTTACAGTTATTACTCAGTCAAAATACGATATCGAGCGATTTCCACGAAGTACGATGGCTATTTAAGAACCTAACTCAATTTAGCTCAGCGATGTTAAAATAAAATTTGAAATAAATATAATCTTGCTAATGATTTGAAATCAATTTTCAATATTTGAGTACGTATGTACAAATATGCCTTGTTAAATAAAATTATCTGAAATCACGCTCTGCTATTATGATCATGATCTTTAGTCATGCTCCATCTGCGCCACTTCCCCTTTGTAATTTATTCTATTGACAATCGCCACAACGTTGGTAGTGTTTGTAATGAGTATATATGGTTTTTGTTGCTTGTTTGGTTTTCTTATCTCGCTATTTGTGGTTTTAATTATATTAATCAACAGTAATTTCTCTTCGCCACTAAGTAAGCGTGCGTTATTGCTGTCGATTTCCGCTTATTTTCTATTTAATTCGGAAACCTTTGTCTGACGCGACGAGTCATGGATTGGCTTATATTAAGCTTGTGCTGTATGCTTTCCGGCATTTTTCAAGCGGACTATTATCGTTTCCAAAAAATATTGATTTCGTCTGTCTTTGAATTTGTACCTCAATTAAATCCAAAGTGACAACGGTTGATAATAATTATGGAATGAATTTCACATTATAATGTTAATGGTAATTCTCAAGTAGTCAGTGAGACCTAAGACGCGTATCACGGTTTTATGCCAACAGAATATTTCTGATATCCTCTGTCGTCGCCGTCTCTCATACTTCAATATGCCGCAAATATTTCTTTCTTTAAATCGTGCTTAAAGCGTTTCTAAACGCTGGGCACATTTTTGCTCGAAGTACACAATAGTCCGATAGATATTCAATTTCTCAAGAGTTTTCGAAATGAGTGTGTAATTAAAGCAAATATGGCAAATTTCCTTGTATAATTACTTAATCTAAAAAATAACTTGTCTCCGTACGTCCAGCTAACGTTTTCATCATCAGTGAATCCCGCTCGAATTGCGACCTTCCTTACACACATACAAATAATACTCGATTTGGTAATTTATATAACTTCTTGTAGTCATTTACCAGCAGCATTCAGTCTGCGTATGACATTCACGGCACTGAACGAGTTTATTATCTGATAGCCATCGGAGCATCTGATGAAGTGGCTTACATCAAATTGGAATATGCATCTCGAATTTAATCCACTGATATCAACAGTTATTCAATGCAAAGTGGGCGAGTATAAATTTGCAAGTTATTTCTTTTCAGTTTATTCTTCTGAACAATTGACCTACATTCCGGAGCACAAAACTCGTAATTTAAAATCTCTATGGAACACGTAAGTTACTATAACTGTCAATTTCATGTCACAGCCTTACAATAATAAGGGAGCTGGTCAAATTAATTTAACATTCGGTAAACAGGCCCTTTATTAAGTCAAGTAAATAATATATTATATGTACACTTTCACTCATTATTTTCTTGAATCAAATAGCAAATCTTAAGAACTTCCTCTTTACGATTTTTGAAAGACACTCTTTTAGAAGACTAAACTAATCAAGTACTCTGACCTAAAACTATTGATTATTGATTGCTACTAACTAATTTTAGTCAAAAAGCTATAAAGTTGTAGGCAGAGGTATATGCCGTTTAAAATTGTATTTCGATCAATCAACATTTGGCTTCAATAAATAAAGACACTGCGTGCTCGACAATTAATCAGCCATTAATACGCCACTCCAGTCACTTCAACTCAAATATTGAATAATTCGTTCAGCCCGTCGAACGCTTAACATGCTGTTCAGTGGAATATTAAATTTTCTACCACTAAAGTGAGTTTTATCTCAAATGACTTCTTGCAGTTACATCACACTCGACACCTTACAAAAACGATAACTTATTTGCACCAACAAATCCGCATCAGTCATCGCTATCAACCAACAATACACCATATAACCAAGGCACCTCAGTATGCTTCATGTGGGAAACAACAACAAACAAAACGGCAATTCACTAAACTTATTACGCTTATAAACCAACGCAAAGCATTAGCGCCTTAGAAAAAACACTCATGAAAACCGCGGCGAATCTCAGCTCACATTGATTCGAACAATGGAGTAGATGAACTAGACTTTTGGGATGATTAATGGCACGCACGCACACGCCATCAACGCAGCAATATTGACTGAAAACAATACGCTCGTATTTGTTCAGTGCGTTGATTAAAATGAAGCTTTCCTCTAGACAGATGTTTCGAATGTCCTTGAGCTCACTGCTTTGTAGAGGCGAACACGACGCATAAACACCGCTGAAGCTGGATTCGAAGCGGCAGCAGCAAAGTGTGAAGCATAAGCTGGATTAGATACAGCACCTGGAATATTCGGTGGCTAATTGAATTAAGATCGTGATGGGAAGCTTGTAGAATTTATTTCAAGAATTGACAACTGAG